GCGAGGCGCACGCTGTGGTGGCCGAGGACGCTTCCAGGACAGGTGACGTTACGCGAAAGACCGTCCCCCTGGTCGACTCCGAGGGCGGCAGCGGCCGGGCTTCCGCCGTCCCCGACCCTTCCTCTGTCGATCCACCCTCAGACCCGTCGGCCGATCGTATTTGTTTGATGTTTTCTGACGTGACTTCACTGAAAAGCTTTGACTCTCTTACAGGCTGCGGAGATATTATTGCAGACCCCGAGGAAGAGGCAGGTCCCAGCTGTGACAAGCATGCCCCCGGGCCAGGCAAGTCAGCACAGTCTAAAAAGACCCCCGGAGGCGTGGTGGCTTACCAAGGAGGAGGGGAGGAGATGGCCAGCCCGGATGGGGTGGACGACACCTATCTCCAGGAATTCTGGGACATGCTGTCCCAGACGGAGGACCAAGAGCAAGGGCCCCAAGAGGCGGCGGCAAAGGCGGCCATGGTCCAGGAAACGAAGGTGCTGCCGGAGACCTCCCAAGACCCCCGATGTGTGGAGGTGGCCAAGGACGTGTCCTCGGTTAAGCGCAGGAGGCTCAGCAGGGTCCCTACCGAGCTGCAACCGAAGGAGCAGCCCAAGCACTCGGAGAAGGAGCCTCAAGAAGGCGTCCCCAACAGTGATGAGGGCTACTGGGACTCCACCACGCCTGGCCCAGAGGAAGACAGCGGGAAGAAGGCGGGCATCCCCCGGGACAGCGACAGCGGCGACGCGCTCTACGACCTTTACACGGACCCGGATGCTAGCCCTGTCGTCCCTCCTGCCAGCGAGGAGCCGGCCTCCTCGTCCCGGTTGAAGCCGGTATCTCCAGGCACCATCACCTGTCCACTGCGAACGCCAAGCAGCTTACTGAAGGACTCCAAGATCCCTATTAGCATCAAGCATCTCTCCAACCTTCCAGCCAGCCACCCCGTGGTGCACCAGCAACCAGCCAAGAGTGAGTTGCGCAGAACAAAAATCCCAGTCTCCAAGGTGCTGGTCCGCAGGGTCAGTAACCGGGGCTTGGCTGGTACCACCCTCCGGGCAGCAGCATTGCATGACAGTGCCAAAAAATTGTGAGGTCTCCAGGCCAAGGTGGATGGGTGGCACGCCCCAGGAATACAGCTTTTCCTGGAAACCACTGACGGAAGTTTGCTTCTCCTAAAGAAAGTGATTTAGGACCACCCCTGCTCCTAAACCTGGACCTCGGAGGTCTTTGGGCTGGGAACAGGGACAGGATACACGTGTCAGAGAGGGGGATGAGCCACCTGGAATTCTCCTCTCAAGATAAGTCCCTGAGAATTATTTTTGAGCACTTTTTTTCCTCTTTTTACCTTTTTAAAAATCTTTTTTCTTTATTTTTCCTTTAATGCACTGAACACTTGGAAGTCACCTTCACTTGCCTTTGCAGAAAACAAGACAACCAAACCTAAGTAAGAGTCATGCCAGGGTACTAGGCTGTGCTAGAGTCAGAGGGCCTGGAGAGATCACTGCAGACTGGAGGAAGAACCCTTCCCTTCCTTCCCTTCCTTCCTTTTTCTTTCCAGGAAAAAAAAAAAAAAAGACCCTTTGTTGTATCACTGTGTGGAAACCACCTACAAAGCTGAAAGAGGCAGGTAGAAACCCAATGAGGGCATCATGGGTTGGCAGAAAAGTTCCCTAATTTCAGTTGTTATGTATGCAAATAGGTAAAGGTTTACTCCTAGGAAAATAGCGGAGTATTTTAGTTTCACTGACTGAGATCTTTTGGGGAGAAATAAAAGGTTGGCAGAATAGATTTTCTGTTTTTTGTTTGTTTGTTTTTGATCCCCCAACCCCATCCAGTGCAGAAATCAGGATCAGGGGATGATTTCACTAAATGCCAATAGATACAATATTTTAGCATTTATAAACTGTAACCTTCTCATGTGTAGATAATACATATTTTACAGTTTATCCCACTGTTAACATTTTATACTCTGTCAATAACCTAGAATTTAAAATCTGGTCTTATAGCTAGATATGATGACAGTCCCCAAACCGTCAAGGTTCATTTATGTGCTATAACCTGAAGCAATGCTAGTTTTGGTTCTGGTTTATATGAAGTCCCTAGTTCTTAAAAAAAAAAAAAAAAAACTATTGTGTGGCTGTCCCAGAAGAATGGTTAAGGCAGTTCTGGTTAAGATTCAGTTTCTTACCCTAAACCATGGTTTTCAGAATCTTGGTTACAAGATTGTGAATCCAACCATTCTTCAGTGGTCCAATATGAGGAGCACATAGTGAAAAGCAATAGAAAAACACAGTTTTTCCTGTCATTTAAATTTTGCTTCATGGACTTATGGCTGAGATGTGTGTTCAGAATATATTGACAAGCTTATGTATCATGAATGCACTATACTAAGGTTTTTTAAAGAAGTGGTTTCAATTATATGTACCTTTCTAATATTTCAGCTGAAACTTTCATTTCAGAAAGAGTTATTACATATCTTGGTAGTTTGAATGCCTAAAGTGAAGCAGTTCCTCAAATGTTATTAGTATCTAAAGATTAAATTAATATCCTTTTTGAAATGCACCCTAGTGTATCTGATCAAAAGGCCAGAGCTCCTACTTGGAGGTAATTTGTCATAGCAGGAAGATCACACATACTCCAGTGATACCAAACATACATAAATGACATAAACACTTGGGTGCCTCTCGTTTCCCAGAGAGATTACTAAATAATGAACTGCTGTTTTGTTTTTTAGCTTATTTTTTGTTTTGTAAAGGCAAGTAAAAAAAATGCAAACCTATTTTAATAATATGAAGAGAGTAACAAAATAAATGGGCATCACGGGGAAACAAATTTGAGCCAGTAACATAAAGCAGTTTGTTCTTCCTTCTAAGTTTGCAATGATTCAATTAGAAGAGGAGGTATAGGTTTGCTGAATTTTTTTATGAGTCAATTTAATGGTTTTTATTACATTGTCTCAGATCTTTAATGTTATTTCAAATAGTTAATTTCCTGTCTATACAGGAGGCCCTACTGCAGACATAGCCTTCATCATTCTGAACACACTACTAGAAATTCATTCAAGCATCTCACACGTGCTCATGTTCTCAATTGGATACAAACTAACAAACAAAAACCATCTAGAATTATTTAGATTTAGAAATACTTTGAAAATTATTTCTGCTTTTGACAAAGAAATTTGAATTTGATAGTACAATTCAGACTCAAACTACAGCACATTAGAGAGAACATAAATTTTATTTCTAGCTGTACAACAAAGGATTCTTCTCGTGTATTTTCCTGCACAGATTGCATTCTTCACTGCATGACTCCATTGCTGAGTTTATATTTGTTCATTTGTCCAACCTGAACAACTGAACACCTGAACAACTGATGTTAATATTATCTTAGTAAAGGCAATCTATTTCTAAAGCACTGGGAGAAACTATTTTTGCTTTCATAATTTGGGCACTTATTTCTGCATTTATACTACTTTGTAGTCTTCTCTTTGCAAGTAAGGGAAACTATTAGTAAAGTTTAATTTCTTCTGTCAGTTAAGTAATCATGAAAGATTTAAAATTTGTTTTCTTTCTTTTTTCCACATTTTAATGATTTTCCAAATGTCTCTAAGAATTGCACCCACACCAGTCAAATGAAGGATTCAGGCAATACATTAAATGGCCTCCTCACTTGGTGGGATCTCACTGCAGTGGTGGGAAGAGTGACTGGTGGTCAAGTTTTTCTAACCAGAAAAAAAAAACGTGTAGTTGCCGTCATCTACTAAGAGCTACTTTGTCTCATTTGTGTTTATGGAGATGGCTTCTAGAATTTGCTTTGATGTGCATGCCGGTTTTTATTAATGCACTCTCTAATAACCTTAGGAGGATCATACGCGGGCCTGTAATTGCTGACTGTTTAACTGAAGGGTTATGTATGTATTCCTCATATGTGTGAATCTGAAATACTTGGTGGATTAATGCCCTCTGGCTAAAGAGCTGGCCAGATCACAGGGGGAAAAACCAGTCAATTGTTGGATTGGAAGTTATTAGTTTAATACTTCTCCACAAAGACAGCCTGACTTTAACATCTGCATTACACATATGTGCTTCTTGAAACATCTTTTGATGATGGTGCTTTTATTCTTCATTAGCACCAAGTGGGAGAAATTTTATTTATTATAACATTTTAAACAATCGCAAGAGGACATAAACTTTCATCATTTCACTTAATAAAAACAATAGAATATCGAACATTAAGGACTTTCTTTAGATACATTTTTCTCAAATTATCTGCCTATTTAAATACAAAGTGCTTAATCTAAGAAGGTAATGAACTGCCAGATTAAAGGTTTTATCATTAGTTGTTAGATATCTAAAGGAATATGAAGATAGCCTTTTGCCGATACAATTATCAAGGAAAGAGGACTATCACAGGTGTTAAGGTTTCTTTGAATGACCTAAAAGTTTTTATTAAATAATAATGATCATCAGGTCAAATTTCAAAGGCCACTGTTTACTGTGAGCTTTGTGTAAAGAGATTGACTCCTGAAACTTTTTGCCTCTGTATTTTCACCATAGTCGTTCAGTGCCCTCAGACAGCAGAAACGGGACACTTGACACGGAGTTAGCATGTTTGGACCACAGTAGCATGCTGGAATGCACCCTTGCTTGTTAGTCACTCTAAGGTTTTCTCTTGAAGTATGAATACAAGGACTTGGCTCTGCCATACTTGGTTTCTACTGAGACATGTCCTAGGACTTTCACATTTACTCTGCTCCCCCTTCTACTGTTAAGAAATTCAAGAATTTGAGACTATTGAACTGAGGATGTGGTTCAGTGATAGAGTGCTTGCCTTGTGTTTGTGTGATACCCTGGGTTCAATTCCCAGCACTAAAAAAAGAAACTATTAAGAAAAAAAGCACCCCACTTGCCTTTTCTTACCATCAAGATGGCCAGTTAAAGAATCAGTATGGAGTAAGAGAAACCCACACGCCTCTGCTAAACCCATTCCCTCCTCTAGGCAGACCAAGGAAAGAATGTATTACTAAGCCTTAGAAATTTTTGATTCTTTACACAAAAATATTTATAAAATAGTTTGAGACCAAAGGACTAGTAGGGCAGGCCTGTATCTTAGACAACGAGAATGGGAAAGCAAAAGTCACACACTGACTTCATGAAAAGAAGGGGACCGCCACTGTCAGCATAATATGTTGTATGGCTTCTCCCCAGACACAGTCATTGATTTTGCACCCTTGACTCGCTCTGAAGGTTTTGTGATGGCTCTCACGGATGGCTTCTCAGAAGCCTTGCCGCTGTGATAATGGCTTAAAGGAGACAGTTTGTTTCAACAATAGCCACTTATAAGGAACGTGATTATCTCCCTGCAGATAATGTTTTTAAAAGGTGATTCAGAAGTCTAGTTTCATGATAATAGAAAAGAGGTCCTCCTTGAACTGAAATAGAAAGATTAAAATAGCCATGAAATCGCCAGCGCTGAAATGTTTTTGACTGATGTTTACTTGAATTCAGTGCAACACATATTTATGGGACACACGCTGTGTTTAATACTTAATAAAAACCCATTCAATGTGGGGCTCACATATAGCTATTCTGTAACTGGATTTTCTCAATATTCATTAAAATCACTTTTATTTTACCTACTTTAACTTTTTTTTGGTATTTGTTGCTTATAGTTTGTGGAGTGAAACAAAGGGTGGTGAATGAAGCTACACAAATTCCCCTACAGTTAATAATTTAACAGCAGTTAAACTTGTTGAATGCTACCTATGCATTGGGCACAGCTAGAAGATTTATCAGTATTTATTTAGTTCTTTTACCAGCCATAGGGGGATGCGACATTATTTCCCTAGTGTGACATATTTAATTCATCCTTTTTGTTTTCTAACCTCCTATCACATCTGTCTGTCATCTCTGACTCTCTGTGTCTCACTCTTTTCCTAGTCTCTGGAAAAGTCTATAAATTCCTTACTGTCATACGGTATTTTAAGAGATCAGCGATGCTGCCATCATTAGCAGTTCACTGTCCCTAGGAAAAGCTAACCCATGACCACGTAGCTGAAATTAGTTTGATGCGTAAGAGGATGGTTGGTGCTCACGTAGACTCACAGGGAAACTGTTGCTCTTCTAGAGTCAGTAGGCTGACAGTTGACCTTCTTTTGGGAGTAGCCCCTCCTTCTGTAGTCCTCTTTCTGGGGATTAACATGGAAAGTACAGACAGAAATCTCTTCTGTTGTCATGGTGATACATCTTCCCTGATAGGATTTCAGTCATTCCAAGCACATTTAACTTGTTTTCCTACCTTAAACCCAGTCTAGATCCTGGCCATGCTTGTTCCATGCCTGTTGTTGAATCATTTGTTTTTCTTTTTTAAAATCATAGTAAGACACTATTTAGCATGAAATCTATACTCTTGATGGATTTTTAAGTGTACAACAATGTTGTTAGCTGCAAATTCACTGCAGATCTCTAGAATTTATTCATCTCGGCATAATTAAAACTTTACCCCCATTCACCAGGGACTCCTCCCTCATCATTCCCCCTCCCTCAGCTCCCTGAATCATTTCTCTACCCTTCCA